AACAAATAAATAAAGAAATGATAAGAGTCGCCAATAGACCGATATGTGAAAGCTGCTCACGGAAGAATTAGGATGTAAGAACACTTCACTATGATTTCGATATTGTTACCATTGAAACTCTTTCAACCGCTAAGTTGTCCTCATTTCCAACGAATGGTGAGTGTTGTGATAAGCACCATACGTTGGCAAATGTTCATTAAAGAGGAGAATTATGATGAAATGGGCCGTGTTTTGAAGCATGGGAAAAAGGCGAAGTTTTAGGGGCCACCACAAAAATTCTGCCATTGTTCAGTACCATAGGTTTAACAATTCGCGCAGTAATGCGCGTCAGCCAAACTGGTACAAATATAATTTATTTAAGTCGTCCGAGACTGGTATTAAGCTTTATTAACAAAGGCCAACGCTTCGGCGTCTTAGCCTTCGTCTACCCTGCAAAAATCAAGGAACACGCATGACCAGTCGTTCCAAAGCTTGGGCAGTGATAAAGACAAGCCATACAGAGGCCAACCACCAAATCCAACCAAAAGTGAAACTGGCTTACTTTACGCCGGTGACCACTCCGTCTTAGTTAGAACTCAAAATGAGCTCCACCACCGTTTATCTTTACACGGCAATGAGCGTTATGCTGCTACGGATAGAAATGATTCAATGCGAGAACATACAGTAGTTTATTTTGCCTTTGTATAAGAGTACAATCAACATTGTCAACAGCATTCATAATTCCTGAACATACACAAGAACTCCGTATTTCTTTCAACAAAGCAGGTCTAATTAGAAGGGCACTAGCACAGAATCTCGAAATTAGTTCAATATTGAATCATGCAAACTTGAGCATGGACAATTCCTGGGCATCGAAAAAGTGAACCAGTTATCAGTTAAGAAATGATTGAGATCGAGAATATTTGTGAGCACTGGAAATAAAATGAAAAGCTACTCCAAGCAACTGGCTTCTGACCCAATGAAAACGAAAGGATTCAACAAGCTATCACAGGTAATTCAAATGAATAAAGAGATCATACGTCAAAACTAAGCTTTCAGGTACAGCCAACGTCGAACTAGTAAAAATCCTTCGTGCGCTGTCCCCAAATACTGGTCACAGCAGGCGGAACCGTTGGCTTAGCTATGTAGTTGAAAACGCTGCTATTCACCTGAAAGAAAATAGCCCGAATTAATCGAAATCTAGGATATCCAAGTTTTCTGCTATACCAGAGCCTCATCGTATTTGATTGTTTTGCCTACTGGGAAGCTCCAAAAGTTTATTTCAAGAAGCAAAAGACCCGTGTTTTTTGTTGTTTTAAGGAAGTTTTCGAAGCTTCACACTTCCCCTGGATATTCTGAAATCTACGAGGACTGTAACAGCGATAAAGATAAAAGGCAAAAATGGCAAATGATCATAAGATAACCACTGGAAAGATGGAGGTTGTTGAATTATCATAAACGAAAGACCACGGAAAACAATAAAAAGAAACACGAACATTTGTATCTGGGAGTCCATTCCTCAGGGCTGCCAACCCGGAATCAGTAATACATCCAAAGACATTCAAAACATTCAAATGACCACAAAGCCTGAAAAAAAGAAGTCGAAACGCTCCTTCGACATAACATAAACGACATAAAGGAAATTATATAATCAGCAGAGCTAAACTGAAAATAGCGACAATGGATCGCAGACAGTGCGACAGCAGCTAAATTTGAACTTCAAGAGTTTTCGGCTCTGTTGGTCTAGTAACTGCATCATTTCGGACTTAACTTCAATCAGCACGACCTTTATTCTTCTCCCTGGCTTTCGTCCCACGCCTTCGCGTGGCCTGCTTTTCTTGCTGGACTTCGCCACCTACACCTTTGCAACCCATCTGCAGTTGCGACCTCGTTTTCAGTAAGATCTCTTGATGAAGTCCTTCCATATGTCTTTAGGGCTCCGCGAGGTTTCTTGCCTAGGACTCCCAAGTCCAGTGCTTTCGTTATAGAATAGAAATCAAGTCTTCTTTGCACGTGCCCATACCACCGTAATCCTTGGTTTCGTGGCTTCATTTGGATGGAGACCGATTGCCGCCCTAACGCCTTCATTTCTGGCCCTCTTTAGAGGAGACCGGAAGATTCCGACTTTGATGGGTAATGATGAGTATCCTACCATCTCAGTGCAACAGTCACGTTCAAATCTTACACTACCAACCCCTTGGGTCACTTCGAGAAGGCATCCGTCGGGTCAGCAGCCTCGCCAGGGTGCATTCGTGACTCTCTCGAGAGCGGTCCACATGTCATACAGATTACTGTGAACATTTCTACAAACCTTACATTTCAGTTCTATCGCGGAAGTGATATGGGGGCAAAGGGTCCGCTTACCATGGTTCCGGGATCAAATCTCCCATCGGTTCGCGCCCAGACCAACCAAGCATTCTAATTTCCGAGACTTTTAAATTGGTATCCCAATTTTCTGCGAGTGTAGCACACTGAACTGCACATCGGATAGCCACCATGGCCATTGTAGGGTCAACTTGCTCTCAGCAACCCACGACGATTCATAGCGGAGGTAGAATGCCACATTACAAAAGTGGATTGCTTGAAGGCAGTTGGCACCATAATTTGGTACTCTGCCTAAAATGCTAGCAGGGCGCTATATAGTGGGGAAAATGGCGAAAAAACGAAGTGAAACGGTCAAAAACCTGCGAAGAAAAGCCTTCGTTCTTAATGACTCAAAAGCAATTTCGGACGAGTTTCCCGTAGGCATCTTGCCAATAACCGCTACGGTAGATACGGCTGCACGTATGTACTCATATACATCCATGCAGCACCTGGCCGCTTCATACCAATCCCTTCGCTTCATATTTTACTTAGCAAATGAAGCAATACGAGCGTCAGGAACGGTCGTCCATTTGTGGGCGGGCGGGCGTGGCGGGCGTTTGGGTCGTAATGTTGTGGCTTGATAGGGCCCTTATAAGGGCACCTCCCTTGGAAAAGGCATTATGCAGCGCCTGCTCAGGGTCGCGGAATTCCGTCCTGCCAGGCGTATTAATCCTACTCATCTTAAGGATTTATCGTGCCAACTGCCTTCAATGCTCGAGGATTGCCTTTTCAAAATTACTCTTCGATTTTCGCATTAGGAGGCAGACCTATGAACAAAAACGTATATAAAAATTCAAAAGAAATGGGTCTGGTAAAAAGTGGTTGAACTCACAAAAAATTCATAGGAGGTATACCGTAACATCTGTTCAATGACAATGACTCGAGCTGAAGTAGCGTGTTTATAGCTAGAAGACCTCGTTCCGTCACGCTGATGTTGTCGGATAAGTCTAACTCCTTTAAATTTGGGCAGCTTCTTACGAGCTTTTCCACCGCTGAACAAAACGATTTCACAAAGTCTATGTGACAAACAAACGGCGAACGAACCATCGTCATCCAACGCTGATTTGTTCAAGGATCCGGCCATGTTCAGTCTCGTCACAGTATGAGGTAATTCGGAGCAGAATGCAAGAACTGTCTCGTGGTCTAGGCTACTCCATGAAAGGTTGAGATGCTGCAGGCTGAAATGGATATTTGTGCTGCACATCCCAGCGATGGAGTAGACGTGGTTGTGTCATTAACTCGAAGGTTGCGTAGGATGCCTTGTTCGTAAGATATTTCTTTTTAACAGAAGTGCGCCCTTTCTTTTACTTTACAAAACCATGGTTGCAAATGTTTTGAAACTGCAATATCTCTCCAGAAGTGCAGCTGCCGCAACATTTATATAAAGTACGCATCCACGGACTCTCCATCTCTGGGATAAAAGTCTGTAGTGGAGTCTCTAACAGCGGATCAATTCTCCCATAAAATTCACAGAAAATATAAAACCTCACACAGCACAGCCTTGACATATTAATCGTGCAGAAACAGCATTTATTCCGACGGTCATTGAAAGATCGAGACGAGATAAGGCACTGTTTTGACTAATAGCAAAACAAATTGCGGGCGCGTCTTGTCCCATGTTTTGTCCCTCCATTGACAATGCCTGTAAAGAGGAAATACATCCTAATTTTTTATTCCGAACAAGTTCCTATAGAAAGGGACCCAAACAGGGATGAAGACCCAGAAGAATTCGCTTAAGCTTTCTTACCTGGAGCTGCGAGCAGCCGTTCATAATCTTAACTAAAAGATTCCGATCTGCAAAAACGGCGCGGCTCAAGTCGAAATGAGTTAGCATCAAAGGATATTCGAGGGAAACAGGAGGCGATGTTGAAGGGTGTGGCCATTGTTCAACCTGAATCATGACAGAAGTGAGTGACTGCATTAGAAGGTTAGTTGATGATACAACGGTGAATGACAATAGTGGCTATAGCGACGCTGAATAAAGCAAGCTTTGCAATTTGACGATAAGAGCAGCATCGCGACTATAAAGCAGCAACGATCCCTGACCAGGAAGTCCACCAAATTACCATGGAACTTTGAATGGAGACCTGGGTAGATCGATAGAGTCTATAAGGTTATTTACAAATATAGATAGCAAAACTGCAACCTGCATTTCACAAGCAACTTATGAGCAGGTAAAGTTTGTAATGGTGCAGTAGGGTGGAGGCTTGGTGGTGAGCTGTGAAGCATAAGCGAGGAATCGCATACGTCGAATCGAGTCGTCGAACGTGAACCTTACCACTGAACCACCACGACTCGATTCGACGTATGCGATTCCTCGCTTATGCTTCACAGCTCACCACCAAGCCTCCACCCTACTGCACCATTACAAACTTTACCTGCTCATAAGTTGCTTGTGAAATGCAGGTTGCAGTTTTGCTATCTATATTTGTAAATAACCTTATAGACTCTATCGATCTACCCAGGTCTCCATTCAAAATTCCATGGTAAGTTGGCGAACTTCCCTGGTGAGTGCAGCTCATAGCGCTTCGCGCTCCTATTCTTCCCATATCAGACAGCTACATCGATCGAGCATGTCCTCGAGAAGACGTGTCATTGCCACAGATGGGCAATTTGTGTAGGTGTGAACCGAGCCTTGGGCTGCGTTCATGCTTTGCGTCAGCGTTCTAGCGCACGGCAGCGTCAATGTTTTGAGCGTGCGCTAGCGCTACGAGCCTTACCAGCGACTAGGAGAGTACGGGTATCAATCTAGCGCGCACCGGATTACAGCGTTTTGAGCAACCAGGGAAGTATGGATAACCAGCGTTTTGAGCGTTTTCACGAGCAGCCGCTGAAAATGCTGACGTACGTCAAAACGTTAGATCGATGTCCACACTGCCCTAGTCGCTCAGAACTGCTGTACGCCGTTGCGCACTAGGTCGATACCTGCGCTTTTCTAGACGCTCGAAGACGATGCTCACGCTGCGCGCACGCGGCATGACGACTAGACGTTATGCTTCAATAACGCTGCCTTATATGCACTTTCCCACTCGCTGCAAAAAAAAACGTAAAACGCGACGCATGAGTATGGACGCAACCCATGCACGTTCGAGGCACTAAAGATTCAAGTGTGTTTGCTGCCTGGCGAGTAAACTGTTAAATCACTGGTTGAGCGCTTATACACGTAGTAAGCTCTCACATCAGCGTAAGACCATTATTTAGATTGCCTCACCAAAGCCAGTCAACGAGGTTTCATCCATCTCACAGCTATACAAGAGTTCGCAGGTCTCAACAATGTAAAACTGAAGAAACTAGTGAGCCACAAAATCAAACACCTCTCCCCTCCATGCGGAACAGCGCACAATTCAAAAATCGTCTTCTTCTTCAGCGTTTGTCCCGCTCTGTAGCGGGTCCGCTCGTCTTATTTTGTCACGCCACTTCTCCCGATTGAATGCTTGATCGGGATGGGTGCCAACTATCTTCAAGTCCGCATGCAACGTGTCTAACCAGCGCTGCTTGGGGCGTCCTTTAAGGCCGCTTCCGAGCACTTCAAACTCAAGACCAGTCACAGCTCGCACGAGTGCATGACCCAGCGCATGATTTAAAAATAAAAACTAATATGTGAGTTCAAAGAACTGACATTAGTGTCCGCCATGCGCATCACCTTCAGTCGTCTATTAAGGAAGCAAATGAGGGAGTGGTTGAAGACTGTACGATTGAACAAATCCATGTGTTCCCAAGTCCGGCAGTGGGAGCTTAAACGAAATTATAGCAATATGCAATGAAGTATCAAAGAACAAAGCAATGGTGGATAATGAACAACAGGGAACGTTCTGAAGCCGTAGAGAAGCCAGCTAAAGATTTTCGCTGTGATTTCATGAATCTTTCATTCTCCATCCAGATTGACCTCCAACATCTAGTCCCAGTTTCTATGACTTAATGTCTCGCAGCGATGATGAGCTATAGTGATCCCGCCCACTCGTTGTAAACTTAGGCTTTTATTGCTGAAAGCTCTCTTGATGCGTTCATACTTTGCAGCGGGATAGCAGATGAATAGCAAAGCAAAACCCTACAAATATAGAAGAAAGCTTCAACATACCCTGCCCTATATAAAAGTCTACAAGTAGCCATCGCATTGCAAAGGTCTCTCTTGTTTAAAAAAGATAGAATCTCTAGTAAAACATTTTCGGGAAGTGGCGATCCACGATTGCTGGTATGGAAATGGTCTGAAAAAGTTTCCATTGGAATAGAAAACGACTGGTTAATGGGAAATCATACCTATCGGAGGTCCACTGCTTATCCGACGACAAAATTTAAAAGCTCCTGGAGTGCGGTAAAACGTGAGAATATCAGGCTTCATGCGTATTCTTAATAGGGACTATTTCTCACAGAAAACTATGACCAAAACTGAGGCCGCGTTCATCACTGGTGGAACTGGAGAATTGGAGAATCACAGAGTGGAGGAACAGGGGAGTGCGCGGGAAGGTCGGATACCGGAAAAAGATCTCAATGCGGCTGCGATTTTGGAATGACACTGCCGTTTTAGAAAAATTGCAATCACGT